TAATAATAATGTATTACTCTACAGATTTAGCTAAAGAATTGATTTCAATTGTGTCAATTGACTCTTGATTCTTTCATTCAAACTTCGTGATATCATGTAGATTTGTAAACTTAATGCTTCAATTGATTTCTATTTTAAGAGGTTTAAAAAAATATCTACCGCCATTTCATTGTTTGATGTTTATCGTATTTCATCTCTACTCATCTTTCTTTTTATTTCAATTCGATCAATCTAAGTATTTCATGTTATTCAATTGACCAATTGAATAGATTCATGGAAGATGTTTGACTTATTGAAATTAGCTTACATGGCATTACTGTCATAAAGCATTACATTTCGGATTTCAAAATGTGGGTTTGTAATCAATGGATTAAATTAAATAAAAATAAATTTCATTCTCTATTCAATATTCTGAAGAATTTCTGTTAAAAAACCGTCATGCAGTTAGCATGCAATTAAGTATTTTAATTTACTGATCATATTAAGATCTTTATTAAATGACATTTATTACATTTCTGCAAATCAATTTGCAATTGCTTTCAATGAAAATAAATAAGTAGTCATGTCCGTGTGCATGGAAATAGTGGTTGTTGTGTGCGAAAAATATTTCACTGCGTGAATGTCGCCAAAAACACAGTCTGACCATTAATTTTCTATTGCACGATCATGTTCAATGTTTGCTACCCATTTTAAAATTTATTGACTCACATTTCAATTTCATGTGTACATGTCCACCATCCGCAGTCAGTATTTCAATTTCAGTAAAAAAAAGTTGTTTTTCTTGCATGTGCAAAAATTTATTGTCACATTGCATGAAAATATGGGCTGTGCCTGTATATATGTTCAGAAGAGTTTGAGGTTACATTTTATTGAATAAAATTTGAATGAATGTTCTATGTACGTTCGCATAAAACATTTTCCTAGATTTCCTCATGGTCTTTTCTTTTTGGAAATAAAATAAATGGTTTCAACTACAGCTAATTGATTTACATTGACGATATTTATTTTTATTTTCAATTTCATTGAAAATTTGGAGAGTCTGTTGAAAAAAAAAATTAATGTTAATATGTTATTACATCAATATTTAATATAGCTTTACGTTTTAAATAATACTGTATACTTTTGGTATTCCCAATATATTTTGGTATCATAAACATCGATAATTTTGTGCTTATGAAGCAAGTTGTTGCTGATCGTGAGGCTTAAGTAGCACCAAACAAATTAACATACATTAAAGAGATTTATTTGAAATTCACAAAAGAAAAACAAACAAAAGTTATTTGGATTATTTTAGTCTATGCCGATAGTAAAGTTATTTTATACCATGTGTAAATAACATAATTGAGAAGATCAAATAGAGAAAAAAATTAAGATGATTGCAAAATTCTATTAGAAACAGTCTTCATAAAATTTATATTTGATTAATTTCAACCTTTATTAAATAACTTTAATACTTCTTAATCATTTTGTTTTTCAAAAATCGTGTTATAAAATTTTTCTCAATTATTTTTTGTTTCATCTTCATCATTTATTATCGCTATAATTGAGTACAACTTTGAAGTAAAGGAAATAATTCTGAAGCTGTTATTCATTTCTTTTAATAATTTCTCGTTTCATGTTTTATCAGCTCTTAATTGAGTTTTTATGGTTCATCACTTGCACATGGTAAGTAAATTTATTATTGCTTTGAAACATTTTAAAAAAAACTGCAGATAACACAAATTTATCGGTTTATAAAAGGAAATTGTGAAAACTTTTGTATTTTTTGTCAGATTCATTTAATACTAATCATTGAGAAAAGAAATGTAAGGAATCACGTCAGAATGTGTCAAACATCATCCCGAGGACATTTATATTTTTCAAACTTTGTTATGATGTGCCAACTGTCAATCACTCATCAAAGGCAATTTCTTTAGAATGTACAAACAAATTGTCCAATTTGTATTTGTTGAAGGTTTGTGCGGTTTGACATGCATAATAAATTCGTATGTGGTGTGAAATTGTAATTTTTTCTAGGCTGGTAAATTGCATTAAATTTATTTAACTCTTGTCAAAATAAAATATAAAGGATTTTCAACTTGTTTACTTTTTTGACTTTTTTCTTCCTATTCAAAGTGTTTTAATGCCTTTAAGAATTCTTATTGTAGTAAAAGGGAAATGTCATTTTAAAAATATCCTTTATATTTCACAATATAATTGATTGAAAAAAAGATTTTAAAGGTTTCTTTCTTAGAAAATAATAATCAAAAATTATGAAAAAAAAAATTATTCATATTGTAAGAGCTTGCTTCCTATTGAAATTACTTTGATGTTCTTAAAGCATCTTAAATTTTATCAGCAACAGTAGTTTTAAGTACTTTTCTTCGAGAAATTTAAATATAGGTTTATTATAAAATAGACGGCAGCTCATTGAGACGTGTGATAAGACGGCGGCACGCTCAAAAATACCATTTACGCATCAATTTGTACATGAAACAGAATGAACAGATATTTAATTCTTATAACATGTTAAAGATATATAATAGGGATGTGATGCATAACATATCATTTTATTTCCATTTTCAATGTGTTTATTTTTCGTGTGCCAAGTAGTATATTAATCTACTCATTTATTGATATTGTATATATGTTTTTGTTTAATAATTCAGTAGAATTAATTTTACTTTATTGTTTTATTCCTTAAAATTTTGAAGTTAAAACGCTCGAGTTACATAAAAAATAAACAGACACTCTTCTATTAAGTGGCGATGTATTAATGTTCATCAAGTTTCGTGACTGTTAGTCATAATACTTAAAACTGGAATTTTCATTACTAATGTTTTGTTCAGTTTGGTTGAAAAAAACTTTGATTATTTTTAAAAATTTCATTAGCTTAGTTGAGTAATGTAGAACAATTAATTTCAATGCGCATTAAGTGTGTTAAATCCACAAATTAGAAGACTTATTGACTTTTTATTACTAATCTATATTACATGAGTGATTTTATTTTTCTATCCCTTATTCATTTCATAAACTTAGTTTGCAGCACTTATTTTTATTTATCTTTTCACAATATTATTTGTGTACATTTCGCCATAATATCATTGATGTATAATTATCTTCCGTTTGATATTGTTCAAATTGTACATATAGTAAAATTGAAAATTGACCGAAGCAAGGCAATCTCAAGGGATCAACAAAAATTTTCATACATTTCGTGACTAATTGATTTTCCTCATCCCCTTCTCAGTATTTTATACATACATTTTCTACAGCCTACACCATTCTAGTTGGTAAGTATGTTTTAGACTTATTGTTGCTGTTATTTGCTATTATTCTTATTTTTATGAGTCGCACATGGATAACCAATTTAGATTGCATGTTTCGAAGCAGTTTCAATTGTGCGACGTGAAATGGACATTTAATCAAGCTCTCATTTGTGTCTCTCTTGGAGCATCAGCAATTTGGTTAGAAGTTTTATTTGGTAGGTATAATAGACAAATGTGTAATTAAATGGCACTCGGTATAGCCTTAGATTCCCAAGATTCATTTGTCAAAATTGTGTCGTGATTGGTTAAACGAAGAATGATTTAGAATTTTCAAAGGAATTGCGTAGATATAGTATCATATGTACATTGGTTATTTTATCAAGTTTTGATTGTAACTACCATGGTTTATAATAACTTTTAATAACTTTTTAAAATTAAAAATAAATATTTCACTAGTATTTATTGGTAATTAAAACTTTGAAGTTGTCATCATTTCTGAATTGGTCCTCAATATCTAAAAATGTGGCCTATTAAAACAAAGAAAATAAAGATGAAATGCTTAAATAGATGATTTTCTCATTACGCTTATTGAAATTTGAGGGGGGGGGCTTGCGTTTTATTATTCAATCTTTTCTTCTTCATGATCTAACTCATTTGCTTTCTCTTACCCGAAAAATAAGTATTTTTTTGTATTAGTCACCATTCTCTTGAGACAAAAATGATTGAATTGCTGAGGACTCACGAATGGATAATTATTTCCAATCACATTCATTTCGTATCCATTTCGTTCGCCAATAGAATCTTTTTTTGCTTTTAATCAAGCAAATTATTTGCTTACAAAAAGAAATATGTCTGGTTTGTACATAAAGCTTAAAATTGATCACTTTTTGATTGATTTACGTGATTAATTTGGTGAATTAATTCTGTTTAATTTGTTTTAGATCTATTTAAGACAAGAAGATGAGAATTTACGAACGTAAAAAGAAAAAAAAAACATATATTAAAATTTGTTTTTACTTATTCTAAACATCAGAACTTAATGTAATTTTGCAAAGAATTTAATAGCTGTTTTTGAATTCCAAAACATTATTGCTTGAAAATATTTTCCACTTACATGTCTATATATATATTTGATTTTTTGATTTTTGTCAGTAAATGTGTCAAATTTGAAACAGACCACCCATTTAGATTGCTGGTTGTCTCGAATTAGAATCATTTTTAAAATTACTTTATTTCTTCTTGTCAAGCCAGGCCAACAAAATATGACGGATTATCAGGTTAAGTGGCCTTGCCTGCAACCAATTTTGTGCATTAAAAGTAAATCATTCATTTCTTCATATCAACATGAGGTATGGGATGAAAAGGAAAATCAAGTTGGATTCACCCTAGAACAATAACTCAAATATCCATCAATTTTTTTTCTTTCAGTTCACAATAACTGATTTTTGCTGATCTAAACATGCTAAAAGGCAAACAAAGAGACAATGAATAAGACAAAATAAAAAAAAATAACCACACAGATGTGAAAATGATTTATGTTTTGATGGCAAAATAAGTAAATAAAAAGATGTCAAATCATTCAGTTGTCAATGAAACTATTTTACTATTACTTTTCTAAAATTTACTATTATTCGTAACAATAACATGTATAACCGTTGTAAACAGGTTTTTGTTAAATTAGTTGTGAACATCTCAAAGCATCAAAATGGTTTAGGAATTCCATTATTTTTTTTAAAATTCTTCATTTTTAGATTAAACTCTGGTTATTTTTCCAACAGTTTTAGTAGAAAACAGATGAACTAAATTCTTATGTTGGGGAACCTTCCCCATAACTTTAGCACGAACCATAAATTGAAAATCACTTACGAGCAAATATGTTGGAAGAAATTTATCACTAAATAGAAAGTTTGTAACTGTGAATGTCCTCTAAAAATATAATTTTATAATTTAATGCTTAAATTTAAAAATATGTTCATAATATTATATTATAATTCACCTTTGGAAAAGGACACTTTAATTCAAAATCAACACTTTTATGGAGAACATCCATGATTGTTTTCACAATGAAATCTCCCATGACTCCTTGAAACATTTTGCATACATTAATTGTTGACTTTATAATTGTTCGTTCAAAGTTCTTATCATTGTTATCTTTTGGTACATCAAAAGAAAACGAGATCATCATTTTTGATACTTCATAAGCAAAATTTATTGTTATGTTCATGATTGTATCCTTCTGCTTATTTTTACTCATGACAACTGAGAAATTTGCAAATTCTGGTTCTGAAACTGAATTTACTCCTTCTAAATTGATTCTAGCTGGCTAAAAAGAATAACATTAAATAATAAGTTAAACCTTTATTATATTTTCACTCACAATTAATTCTAAGTAAAAGAGTAAGATAAAATTTTGAATGTTCATTTTTTAGATTTTACCAGTTTTAACATATAAAAGTTACAATATTTCTATTAGACTGCTTAACAGAAATAAGTTATAAATGCCTATCATTGAAACTGTATTGTTAATTTTTATGATTATTGCTTATTAAAGTAGTTTATAATTATAGGAAAATTATGCCAATTTTCAAGAACCAAAATTTTTAAAAAAATCTTTTTATTTTTAATTTAATTTGGTTTCAGCAAAAATTTGGGAAATATAATCTCCATTAAAATTAATTTTTTAAAAAAATTGATTTTTGGCACAATTATCTTTCAAAAAAATATTACTTTGAATTTTTTTTATATATTTTTGGACAAAATTTGAACTTTTTTCATTTAATAACATTGAAAGATAGTGTGAACAAATCATGTCATAAAATATAAAAATCCAGACAAACTAGCGGAAAATTAAGCATAAAAGTAAGGAAACTACAATTACTTTTTGTTTTATTTTGACATTTCACCAAATATTTTAATAGTAAGTAGATGCGCTAAGTTTTTTGAAACTGGAACTTTTCCCATCATTTTTGCTTCAAACACATATTTGACTTTTTCGGATATCATAAAAGTTGGAAGGAATTTTTCTTCGATTAAGAAATTTGTTAAGCGAACCGTCTGTTAATAATTAAATGTTTTACAGTAGTAATTTAAGTATCAATAAAAATAATAACCTTTTGCATTGGACATTTTAAAGATATGTCTGTACTTTTGCCAAGACTCTCCATCATCATTTTGGTTAGAAAGTCTCCAGTAACTCCGTTTAACATTTTACAAATGTTAATTGAGTTCTTTACTAAAACTCTTTCATAGTTTTGATCATGTTTGTCTTTATTTATAGCAAAAAAGAATGTCGCAACCATAGAGGGTAATTCATACTGATAAACTACTGTTAAATTGAAAATTGTTTCCTTTTTGTCATTTTCTCCAAACTGAAAAGTTACATTTGCTAACTCGGGGTTTGAAGATGTAAGAACTTTAATAAATCGATTTCGTGATTCCTAAATGCAACCATGAAATAATTGAAAATACTTTCATTAATTAATATATTTAATTTACCGAGATTTTTAAAATAGTTAAAACGATGAGGCCAAAGATATAATATGTAGAACTATGATCCTTCATTTCTTTTTCGTTGTTTGCACCAGTTTGTGAAAAACTGGATTGATCAATTCAAAAATTGAAAACTGTTCACTTTTTAATTTTATGAAATTTAAAAGCTATTACGGAAAGGAAGAGTTTATAGATTTTAAAATTCTGAACATTTACGATAATAACTGTGTAATTTTTTTAAATAACGAATAATTATATTTATTAACTCTCAACATGATTTTTTAAAAATTGGAACTTCAGAAGTTGAGTCATTATTTATTTCAAAACTCTAAAAAAAAACGTTTTGAGTTTTTATTCCGATAACTTAGGTCATATTTGACTAGAAATAAATGTTTCTTGAATAAAAAAGATTTATTCACATTTTTTGTAGAAATAACTTTTTTTGCAGATTATCGGATGAGAATAAGATAAAGAAATTTGCTACTTTAAATCATAAATGCATTAGTCATGTTAATATGACTATACAAATTGCCTCCGAGAGTGTGATAACACATAACAGTATGTAGAAATTTACATATATTTTTTTTAAATTTCCTTCTTATCGTCTATAAAATATTATTATACTGCATAAATACTTTCGATAATCATCAAAACCAAATCCTACGACAGTTTCACTTTATTCCAGTTGAATAAATGTATACGTTTAAGAGAATGTAAGATTGTAAAAGAGTCATATGTAAAGAAAAGCAATTTTACGTAATATCGAAAATAATCTTGGTAGTAAAATTTCATGCTTAAATTTAAAATGATAAAATTGAGATTAAGGTCAATTAACTATGGTCAATAAATTTAATTTATTGCGTCCAGAAAATTTCCTCTCTCTCTATAGCTTCAACCGCAATTTCATATCATATTTATATCATAATAATTATCCAACAATAATAACAGCATCAGTAACTGTAGGACGTGGTAATAAAAGAAGGAGGAAGAAAATTGATACATTTACAAGGAGAAATAATGAAAAAATGCGACAGGGGTTGTTATAACTTGCAACAGAAGGGACCACAGCAAGTCAATCTAATCCATAAAGAATAAATTATCCAAATCACTTTAGTCACGAAATTTGTCCACGGAGATGGGAAAATGTTGATGATATGGATTGTAAAAAGTTTTAAATACATTAGAAATCATCATCATAGTATATCCATAGCACACGTCATGACAAAAATGTATGTACATATCTCCTGCGTACTTGATGAGGGGTGGATGAAGTTAAAAACGAGTAGATAATAAATAGAAGGAAGCGGAGATTGCTTATTTAACAGTATCATATAGCCCTCATAATACAAACAATTCAAGAATACACGAAAAGAGAAACTGATGAACCCTAATTGCCTTCGAAAAAAAACTTTCTGTTTAATCTGATTGCAATGTTTTTATTACACTTTGCGAAATGATAGGGACATAACAACATCTACGACAAAAAAATGATGACGACAATGATGTAGAGACAAACGTTAAGTAAAAACAGACAGAATAACGAATAAATGTTTGCATTTTTTGACACTCTCGCACTTCACAGAAATGTATATGGCAACAAAACAAGAGAAAAAAATTAGGCATTTAAGAAAAATTAGAGGGATGGTCTTATCTATCTTACACAATCTCCCTCTCGAGGAAAATTTAGTCTATAGAGATGGATTAATGTTATAACAGCATAGAGTGATAGTACGAAAATTTATAATTGGTTGGGATGGATAGATGGATACAAAGAATTTAAATATTGTGGATTTTTGAGGGGTGAAGATATCATCATAGATAAGCAATACTAAAAGTGTGATTTTCATTCTATTTCATAGCAACAGCTATTATTTTTGTTGATATTCCTTTTTGCCACTTTTTCTCTATTGCTTCCCATGATGATGATGATTTTTGGCGAGGAAATTAAGATTAAGTCGGGTGTTAAATTCATTCGCCCTTAATTTTTCGCCTTTTTGCCTGAATGTGTAACAGAAAACCTGAAAACGATCTCGAAAAGTTTCTCTCGTTTCGAACAATATTTTTTGTTGGTTGAACATCCTCATTCATAGCTCCATGAAGTTTCTATTGTGTTTTTGTTGTTGCTTTCATTATTATATGTTTCCAGATACCCTTCAGAGTTATGCGAGAGTTTTTTTTTGTTTCAAATAACTTTTTCTTGCTTGTTATTATTCAGTTTTGAGATCATTCCAAAAAAGCTTAAAGGAATAAAAAGAACTTGTAGAATGGAGAAATGAGGATTAAACAGTTTTAATTATTTTCATCTATATACATGTATTCATATAATAGAATCGACCGAGGAAGAAAAAAATGGGAAGCAGAATCAAATAAGATTAAAAGCAAAACGAAATTTCTCCACAAATCGGACAACTTGTGCAAATGCCTTTTTATTATATTTTATCGTATTTAAACATTTACATGGCTTTTATTAAAAATGGCTTAGTAAATTTGAAATTGAAGTTACAAATAAAAATAAAATTTGAGATTTTTTACTTATTAAGACAAATAGTTTTAACACCTCTCCAAGCAAATTACTAAATTTAACATGGAAAGGAAGCGGTATGATATTTTCGAATCAAACGTGCCAAAACAAATAAAGAAGAACGGGAAAAGGCATTAAAACCAAGAATTCAATTTTCATTCTATGGAGATAAAAACTCACAATTTATCATTTCGGTTATTTGTTTATAATTAAAAACAAAATTAAAAGATTCATTTTTAAGAGGATTAGAGCATTTTCACAGAATACTTTCAATTTTCCACTGATGCTTGACAAATACAGTGAAATAAAATATATAAAAAACACTTTTTGAAACGAAACAAAAATCAGCATGCCTACTGTTTAAGTATGAATTAAACAAGTCTACAAGAGCTTCAGTAATATTGATTCTCTTTTAAAAATTTAAACTCACTCTCTCCTCTCAATGGAAGATTCTTTTATTGTGTTCGTGAGTTTGTATAAACTGTTCGAACCGCCCATTTTTGTAGACTTCGTTTTAATTCCATTTCAAAGCACATTTTCGTCTATCGTTGTTTGCAACACACATCTAAATAAGCATTCGAGCAAATAATACAAAACAAGGTTAAAAATTCTTATAAGAAAAAATTCATTTGGTGATAATACTGAAAACTATTAAATTATATCATTAAATAAAATGTCGTGTCATAAGACATACGAATGAAAAATTTGTGCTTATAGACTTAATTTATTTTCTTATTTCTCACTTAATTTTTGTCATCTCCATTTTTGAATTTACATTTCGTCTTTGGATTTTTTGATATAAGAGTCTGACGGCGAATGTCTCACATTACTTAACTCAATTTGTTAATAGGTGTTAAGGCTAAGCTTTATTTTGTGACTTTTATGATTAAATTATTTTGCTTTGATTTCATTCGACCACCAAATTTATTGTAAGATTCGACAAAAAATGAAATTTAACTATAATTGTTTATAATGACCTACCACGAGTTATTTTTTTACGATTCTCATTCTTTTTCTTAACCTATTATTGATTTGATCGTTAATTCAAATAATTTTAATATTTTAAAATTATTAAATTTAAATATATTAGGATCCCTATACGATTAACATGGATGATTACAATTTACAGAAAAAAGATAATTAGGTATAAATGACATTAATTGTTTGCATCTCAATACCATGACTACATTTATTGCAGAAAATAAGTAGAAATATTTTTTATTGTGAAAAATTTATTATGCAATTTATTATGATAATTTAGCGATCATTAATTTTCATAAATTACCAACCCGCAATTTTGTTAAATTAAAAATCAAATAAAAAATTCTCTTCTTTTTTGTGCATCATAAATTCTCAAAAATGCACATTTTTGTTGTGTTTTTTATTCTGAATAATTTCCATTAAATATATCAATATGGCAATTATTATTTATTTGCAATTGTTGTTATCGAATGAATTATCTGATTGCAAAATACACATACTCATAATTTGTTTAATGATTTTTATGTTGTGTTATCTAACTCATAACAATAACAAATTATTATGATTAGTGGTTTATGAAAAATTTATTATTAGTCGAAATAAAATTATATTTATCACTAAAATGGTACCCTTTTGTATGTGTTTTATCAACAATATAATACATTAAAATAATAACATATTGAATGACCACACACAGTGGCTGAACTAATGCTAATAACTCTTACTTCACTTACAGCTTCTAATCGTTTCTTTTCGCATTGTTGATTGGATACAAAGTCGTCTGATAAAAATCATAATCGGTTTAAGTAACTAGCCTAGACCTAGCAGCCACAACAAATTGGCTTCATGAGAAGTTTAATAACAAATACTGAGCAAATAATTTGCGTACATAATTGATTCAAAATTGAAAAAAAAGAATGTAGCGACGTAACAACTAACTTGTTAATTTTTGTGAAGCGCGAAAAAAGTTTATTTCTCCACTAGCACTGAGCGAGAAAAATCACATTGGGTGGTTTGGCAAATTAAAAATAAAAAATTAAACTGAAAACTTGTTTATTTCACTCAACCATTTATGAATTTCATTTTATTTTTTTTTGTCGCTTTGAGGACATGGAAAAATTATTTTAAACTGATTGCATGTGACCTTGTTGCCTCTGTAACAATAATAAAATGTGAGCATTTAATTCTCATGACAGTGGCAATTGACGACCAGAGGAATTTTAAATTGATGCCATGAGATCGAACAAAAAGCATAATATTTAACCCAACACATCTTTAGCGCTCGAATTTATTTTCTCTTAGTCATCAATCACCATCACTTCATATTTGTGTTAAGTAGACATTCGTTACATTTCACATTCCTCTTAATGTCTACATGTATAAACGTACAAAATTTCCTTCTTCAAGTTTGCATTAGCTCATTCTTAATAACAAAAAAATCCTCCATGCTTTTCACATCAACAAAAATGGACTCACAAAAGCACACGAATTTATACATATATGTAGCACATAAATATATGTAGCGACACTTAAAGCTCATAGTTGCCACACACAGAAAAACCATTGAGCT